GACAATCACCTTTCAGAGATAAACAAAGCCCCCGGGGGTGGTGGGAGACACCCCGGCCATTTATCAAATCTCACGCGAGAGCCTTGTCCTCGGCGGTGGATCCCGTCAGTGCATTCGCCGAATGACGACGAGACAACGACCTGGCCAAAACGGTGCATGGGCACAGAGTTCGACTAATCGTGGAGTTCTTTGATGCGGCATATACCGACCGCGTCGCGGGTGCGAGCCAACCAGACGGCACCTGGTTGGATTGGCAATGCTTTGAGCACAAGGCTCTGTTACATCCTAGTCGATGTGGGAACGAAACAATGGACTCGATTGGCCACATTGGACCAGGATGGCTGATTTCATGCCGTCATTCAAGGATGCATTGAAGGAGGTCAGTCTTCCGCAAAGGAGGGGTTGAGGGGAGCACCGAGTCCGGCGCCTATGGTCGCGGTCGGGCGCCGACAAGACATAACCCTAGATAGGTATGAGGAGATGGGAAGGTCCAAGTCAACCATGGATAAGGTCAGTGTACATGGACGACTGAATAGCGTTGAAAGCAGCACCCCGGCTGGGGAAACCCCACGGGGATTGGTAGGCCAGTCCAGATGGACGGGATGCAGCAATGGTCAGGCCACGAGACAGCCGTGGGTCTGCCTAACCCAACTTCGGTTGCTTACAAGAGATATGATTTGAGTTGAATCCCACGCTACGGGAAGCTAACGTGAGCCGGTCGGAGGTTAGTGTCAGTTTAGGGAAATTAATGGGATCGCTTGTTGGATTGCCTGAATGGCTACATGCCGGGATTCCCCAATGCGGCGATTAATCGGCCTCAGGCCCCCACGGATGGCCACGTGATCTCCAGCTTCGAGGAATCTGGACATCCCAACAGGTGACCCGACATCAGGAGTTTACTTCGTACTGCGTGAATAATTCTTTTGACTTCATGGGTCATTGGTTGCTTGTGTCGCATTGGCTCCCTTGGCGGTCTTCCATCTGATCCAGAGCACGTAGGTGGCGGCCGATCTATCCGACGTGGCGCTGCCGGCCAAAGCTACCAAAGCTTCCCACGGCTCCTGGTGCTTGCAGATGACCGCGCCCAGCTCTTGGCTCGTCCAATCGCCGTCAGTCGCCCGCAAGCCTTCCTGAGTCGAACGGAAACATAGCGGTCGGAGTAATCCGGCAGGGAGACATGGTCTGATAGCCTCCCTCTCTCTCATCTTCCCCCCATCACATGGAAGACAGTACTAGTACCTTGCGCTGACGCGCACTCTCAGCCTTAAGGCTCAATCACGAACATAATTCCTTGCTCTAGGAGACGCTTAGATGTCCATGCATCAGTCCACGTGTGCTGAGAGAGGGGACGCCTAATTGGGCGTCATGCAACGAGCCAAAATGTTATCAAGCTGGCCGTCAAGACATGAGGTTACGCTAGACACAAGCGAAAGGTATGGATTGCGGGGAAAGGGTGGAGAAATGGGGGCGGAAATACGCTGCCAATTGCCCTCCTTGCGGCCTAGAACTCAGGTCCCAGCAATTCCGTGGGGTGCGCTTCGCAGAATCAAATCGAGTGCTCAAAAGCAGTGATACATTCACATGGTAGTGAGCCCTGGCATTACCGAATTATCCCAGCGGTATACAGGTCGCATAATATCTCGTATTGATTAGCAAGGAGGTTGTCTTACACCTCCCGGCGAAGATCATTACCCGCCTTGGGTGGTCTTATATACTCCATTTTTAATGACTGGGTGGGCAAATCGGCAGGACGGTTATATCCACATTACATCGCATACAGGTGTTGGGCCCCCAGAAGGGATAATGGAGGTAAAGCAGAATAACACGAAGTCAAGACTGATGTGTTTCGAATTGATTCTTTTGCCTCCTATCCGAGTCTCACCTGGATATAGCCCGCGCCCGGAAACGGTTACACACGATGTAAAACCCGCTGGTGTCAACTACGTCGTCTTCTCCCAGCCACCGTGAAAATAAGCAAGCAACTAATTTTCGCCAAGTTGCACGCCTGTAAGCCACATGGATCTTCCACAAACTTCTACTGAAGTAAGGCGGTGGGTCACACTTTTTTCCGGCCTCAGCCACTGCCGGAGGGGACAGTGCGCAAGGACAGAGCACTGGCAGGCTTCAAATTTGGACCATGGCACTGAGAACGGCATGGCAGGTACGGATACATCAAATGCTGTTTTGTGCTTTTGAGCTTAATTCTCGTATTTTGATGACACCCCTTACCTGCTCGGTTGCGGCTTATTCTGATTTTTCGGAGCAGGAATTAGGCACGAACGGCTGGTCGTGAAGTATTCGTTCTGTAGTTGGTATAATTCAAGCAATTGGGCCAGGTGGCAGGCCCCCATACCCATATTACATACATGGGAGCAAGAGAACCACGGAATATGATTCAGGAATCTGAAACTTGAATTTGTCTATGAATGGCCGAGATAATGGCGCCATCTGCCAACTGGGTCAGCTTCCTGGAACCACGCCGCGAGAAGAGGACTGTGCTTGGAAGGAGAAAGCATGCGACCGGCTTTTACAATGCCAATGACTTGCCTCCTACCCTGTCGGGACTGAAGTCAAACTTCAGGTGAAACTGGGTATGGACATGATCAATATACTTTCAGCACGGATAGTGGCCTAGATTCAACTAGAGCCTCAAGCAGGTATTTGCCGCAAAGAGGCAGATCATTGTAGACGGTACAATCGCTTCGAAGATTCTATTTGTTATGAATGTGACATGCGTGTTACCTGCAGCTGGATGTCGATCCATGCCGGATTGTTTCAATGACAGGTCCAGAGCCCAGTTTGGGTGGATCATTGATCTGACTTTTTCAAAGTCACGGGAGGTCAATCAGACCACCTCAGAAAGCTTTGAAGTAGTATTATTTATTGTGCCCACGGTACAATTTTCTCCGACTCAAGTCTACTTGTAATCTCTAATTCTCTAGATGAACAGCACATATGTCACATCACTCGGTGTAAGGATTGTCGGTCAAGATGTATACAGGATGGCAATGCGTTTGACAGAATCTCGCATTAACTTCTCGGGCCAGCTTGCTACTACGGAGACTACTACTTGTTACTGGCTAACTCAGCTTGATAACGGAATTACCATGGTTCATTGATGATTTATCTCCCTCTATTGGCGGGATCTAGTGTCCAGAAAGTGAGCAGGCACCGACAGAGTTCTTTTGTCCGGAAAGTCCAAAGCATGATCTTGGTAGCTTAGTTACGTGGCGTCAGGCATTCTGGGAATAGCGTCATATGATGCATCGCACAGTTCACAATACAGTCTGATATCAATTCGAGAGGTCAATGTGGTTTCCTAACGTGGCCGTTCTTTTTGCTCCTGAGCGAAGTAACGATTTACCAATTTCTCGATATATCTATCTCCGATGAGTTCTTTTTCGCACTTAATAATGAAATTATTCGATGGATTAAAACAATCCCCTTAGAATACCGTGCCTTGTTCCCTATCATCGAAATCATGTCCTCCTCTCACCTCTGGCTCTACGCTTCATCCCGCCTGCGAGATCCCACCGTCACAGACGAGGTCTTTAGCCAATGGTACCAAGAGCACCATGTCCCGGACGTCCTAAAGACAGGCTCCGTCCGAAAAGGAGAGTTTTTCCGAGCTATAGGACCCCAGAAACAGTTCCGCTGGCTTGCCGCATACGACTGCGACGATTTGGATTTCATGGAGCCGGAGAACTTCGCTCGCATCCCGAAAACACATAGCATGCTGGGCACGACCAAGTCCTGTTTGGAATTTGCTGAATTTGATACGAGGATCTTCCAGCAGCTCTTCGTACTCAAAAACGGCGAGGGGAATGAGACGGGGAATACTGGTATGTGTGATATCTCAACACGGTGTCCGTGGTACTTCTTCGCTAATATAGCTATTTTATATGTTAGGTACCGATCGGTATCTTCTAACATGTACATTCCACTGCGACGAAAATGATTACGAGACGCTCGAGCGCCGCTGTATCGATGGGGATATTCTACATGCTTTTCCGGGGTCGCGATGGCTGAAGATCTCGAGACCGTTCGAGGACGATGATACTTATCTCGGGTTTATGATCGTGCAGGCGCTCGGGGAGGTCGAGCCCAAGGATTTGATCTCTTTGGAGGATAATTGGCGGTCATATTTGGCGGAGACGTTGGGGCTGGAGAGGCAGTTCTTGCAGCCGCATTTGTGGGAGCTTTTGAAACGGTGTGAGAATGGCTCTTAGATGCGCTGGTGTTTACGTGGCTTTGGCGAGTTGTTTCTGGTTTTTTAGCAATTCCGCGAGGGTGTTTGGTGATATTGGTGGGCTTAGTGAGATTTAGACAATATAAATCTCGATATATATATCTCTATATCATGAAGATGTTCTACTTGTCCTTGCTAAGTTCGACAAACCAAGAAAGGGACATCATTTACATTCAAGAAGAACGGTGCTTGAGAAAGGCAGTGTCCCGATTGAGCCCAGACATCTTTACGTGTTTCTTTTCGACCAAAATTCTACTTATTAATATACGATTCGCAGCACATGGTCGGTCACACAAGCTCGCAATTGTAGCTGACCATGTGGAGTTCACTTGTGGCACACTTGACAGCAACTGGAACCAATCAGGTCATGCAGCTAGTACACTATAGTATACCTGAGGGCATTCGGACAATGATGACGCTACTCGTGCCACAGAAGTGGTAGTACTGAAGCCTCAGGTGTGCGACGTTGATGGAGAGACGACAAGGTCTTGAGCTACGAGACATCTTTCTAATTGAGGTTATTAAAATGTCAGTGCAGTCTCGTCCCCATTTGCACTTCCTTGCAAGTTCCTCACTTTCGCCACATTCAATCAGATCTTTCTCCTCCGGACAAATCTCCTATTGATGATATGGAGGAAGAGTGTCCCTAAAAAGTATTGAATCGCATCAACTCATACCACGTTATGTATCTATATCCAACCCCTCGACCACAACCATACTCATCAACTACTCCATAAACTTGTCTAATTCCCTTCAGACGATCGCTTAGTTTACGACGCCACCGGCTTTTGCCCGATGCAGACGACCCTAGTAGCCACCACGGCAGCGCCAGCTGCAGCTTCCAGCGATGCTTGGTGGACGATTTGCGAGAATTCCCTTGCCTCATCTACCTTCCCTTTCCTAGCAAGTGTTCGGGCAGTTTCCTCGCAAGTCACGATATATCCCTCGCAGTCGGCCTTTAAATATTGCTTCAAGTTTTCATATCGGTCGATCTTCGTTCTTTCCAGTCCCTCTTGATCAAAACTCTGCGGAAGACAACCTATCCAGTCCTGCCGTTCGCCTGTATTCCAGAACCGAGAGAGATATTCCAATGCTTCGGTTTTGAGTTCAGGCCTGGCTTTGAAGATCTTGGCCTCACGGATGTTCAGGTCATCCCATTGAATCCATCCTCCGGGCTTTAGCATGCGGATGATCTTCTGGATTATGGACGAGGGGTCCCCATTCTGGATGACTGGTAGGAGTAATCGCAGATGCAGAGGTCGAACTGTCCCACCAGCTCTTTGGGTAGCTCTTCAAATATGTTCCATTGGCGCAAGGTGATGTTAGGTGGGAGCCACTCCACCGGAGGCGCCATGTCGAGTGTGACATCGAGGCCGTCAAGGGTCGCACCCGGAAGCTCTTTCGCCAGGTCTATGAGCCAGATAGCTGTGCCTGTGGCTACATCTGCGATGCGGGGATTCGTTGTCTGCAGGGACTCTCGGATGGTTGGGTGGATGTTGAAGCCGAGGTGCTCTTTCCAGAAGTGAAATATCCCATTGAGTCGGAATGCTGCGGTTCCGCTACCAAGGCCGTAGCCGAGATCATCCGAAATGCGATAGTCGAGCTCGGTTTTAGAGGAAGCCATTGTAGGTATCTCTGATTTTTGTACGTTGATGTTTGTCTGGTCAACATGGGTGGTGCTGGAGAAGGTTAAGGATACGGTGGCTGGGTGATGCGTGCCGATCAGTGTGCCCAACGTTGGTGATAAGAGCCACTAATGCAGCCGCACCCAATGTAAAGAGGCAATAGGCAACATCTTACACGAGCGGTGAAAATCTAGAGGGTCAAGATACGTCAAGTCTTCAGTGACAGGCCTGAATCTATACGGATGGTGTCCTTCACGCAGTTTGCAGCACCTCTCATCTCCGAAGAGACAAGAAATGTGACACACTCTCGATTGCTGGTGATTGCACCCAGTTTTGCTTTTCATAACTTTATTTTTCGATACTTCTTTCCCATTCCTGACTGACGCGAGCAAAAGTATAAAAGGCTCCGTGATTTGTTGTGAGCCATGACTTCACAGGGGTAAGCATGCGGGTGATCGAAAGCCACCTGCCAACTGCCCAGGGTTCGGGTGGTTTTTCTGACGTGAGGATGAGTCGTCAAAACTGCAGTGCCTTTACACTCTTAGCCGGGTCCCTGCATGTAAAGAAGACCCTTGCGAGGAATCAGTACTGCAGCCTCGAGCATGCTTAACCATGGGGGGATTGATGTCTAGCGGGCGAAAGTTCTGACAGTATCCAGAGATTAATCATCCGTCGAGTCGTGCGATGCAAGCATGAAAACTGACTAGAACCCGCCGCAACATATACTACTCCTCAGGTAGTTTGACTCGATGGTATGAAGCCCCACCAGACGTTAAGCGAAGAATCATGTTTGTACCAGGAACGGGAGCAAGTTATGCTCCGATGGTATTCTCGTGGCACGACGAATTAGAAGGACGGATGTTTTGTGCGTCATCGGCTCGGCCATGGCAGTTTGGAAAAGCATCCACAACTGCCCGATTTTGGGCTTTCAGTGGCCGAGGAAAGACTGAGGATCTGACTAAGCGGCACTTCCACCAGTTGTGCAGCAATCATTGCCGTTTTGAGATGTGAAAGAAGCTATACGCAGCCACTTCTGTTTTGGACTGCGCCTCGCCTCGAATACACAATGCAGGCTCATGTCTGCTTCGGAAGGACAAATCTGGGTGTTTTCGGCAGCCCGTGCTTCTATCATTTGCATGACTCCACCCGTTGCAGGGAAAAATTTGGACACCTGCGGAGCCCGGACGAGATCACAACCCGACAAACCCTGCCATTTTCCACATAACAACCCCCTCCCGTGGTCTACCTAGTCGAAGCATTACGAATCACTATACAGATATAGTGTCAATGATAGAGACTAAATCTCAAGTCATGGCCTTGGCCTGGCAGATGAAACCACCGAGCCACCATCCAGAATCGGCGGAAGCAACAGCCAAGGCGCGAAGAATACCCCAGACCCGCGGACGCTGTCCGGATCCCTGATTTGATAACGTCAGACGCTCCATGTGTACTAATTGTGCCGCAATGATTCGTGCTGCATGTCGATCATCCACCTTACAGGGTCAATTTCCCTGAGCTTCTATCCTCCGCTGCGGATCCACGTACGCGGCGCCAAGAAGCTGCCATGGCCCAGCCGGCATCTCGGAACTTCTTCTAGGGCTTCCAAGTGCCGTCAGGGTACGTGATGACGAGTCCCTGGTTATTCGAGATATCAGAAAGATTCACTAGGGACCGAGTACGGCTCACAGGGTAGCCCGACGGCCACGCCAGTATGGGACTGGATGACGCGGCTATAGAAGAGGCATCAACAATGTTGAGCATATAAATCCAAACCCTCAGCCACGACTTGGAGGTCCATCAATAGCACGATCGCAGCTCAATCATCTCGATCATTCAAGCAGCTTCATCATGCATTTCTCCAAGCTCCTCACTCTCACCGCGGCCACTCTGGCCTTCGCCCACCCCGGCGAGAAACATGACCATGAGGCCGTCAAGCGGGAGATTCGCCTTCGTGATGCCCTCGCTGAGCAGGCTAGACACGGAGTCAACGCTTGCTCCAACAGCCAGCAGGCTAGACAGGTCCAGCAGCGCTCCGTCTCTCGCCGTGCCAACACTGCCCGTGAGCTGCGCTCCAAGAGGGGCGTGACTGCCGGTAAGCAGGCCTCAACTGGCAAACCGTGGTTGCATCGTCTAACCATAATTAGCTCCCCACAAGTTCCGCCGTAACCTCGCTGCCCTTGAGAAGTGGGAAGCCATCAACCACAACAAGACCGGCATCCTTGACTACTCACCTCAGACCTCCGAGGCCGACATCTTCGGCGCCAACACCAGCTCCATCCTCACTCCCACCATCACCGATGGCCCCTACTACGTCTGGGGAGAAGTAATCCGTCAGAACGTCAAGGAGGACAAGTACTGTGATGGTGTCGACCTGTTCCTCGAGGTGCAGTACATCGATGTCAACACTTGCTTGCCTGTGCAAGGTGCCCTGGTCGACATCTGGAACGCCAACGCGACCGGTGTTTACAGGTATGGTTCTGCTCTCGTCCTATTATCTGATCATAGCTAAGTATGTAGTGGTATCTCCACCAGTGGCAACTACGCCGCCGATGGCTGGGACTCGACCTTCCTCCGTGGTATCCAGGAAACCGATGAGGATGGCGTTGTCACCTTCCAGACCATCTTCCCCGGTCACTACGACGGCCGCGCCATCCACACCCACCTTCTGACTCACCTCAACTCGACCATCAACCGTAACAACGGTACCCTTCAAGTGGGCACCGGCAGCGTCGCCCACATCGGCCAGCTCTTCTGGAATGAGGTCCTGCGCACCGCCGTTGAGAACACCTATCCCTACACCACCAACACCCAGGACATTACCAGCAATGCCGACGATATGTGGAGTGTCGAGCAGGCCACCAGCGCCTACGACCCCTTCCCGGAGTTCCTGTACCTCGGCGACCGCATCGAGGACGGCTTGTTCGCCTGGATCCAGATCGGTATCAATACCACTGCCGACTACACCGACAACTCTTACTACAGCATTGCCGCGTACTACGATGAGACCGGTGGCCACGAGAACACCGAGAGCTCTGCCATGGGTGGTGGTGGTGGTTCTGGTGGTGGTGCTCCTTCCGGCTCCATGTCCGGTGCTATGCCCTCTTCTACCAGTGCTTAAGAGGTGTAAAGGTTGCTGAGGGTGCTTCCAGGGGACGGGATTTACTTTCTACTGTAATAACAGTTTTCTCCGATATGTATTGGGTAGTTAGACAATAGACTTCTTACTGGTCTTGAATCAATATCTCACTGGCCTGCCGATTCAATCTCTTAGCCTCAAATAGGTTTCTTGACTACTAGATTATGTAAAGATCGTTCTATACTATGTAGCACACAGTGTGGATCGCATTGTGCCGACCCGACATGCGCCTTTCACCGAGACTTGCATCGGTTAGAGTGAGCCCGGAACTCTGGCCTGCCGCCGAAAGAACAACCAAAGCGCGCCTTGACTCTGACCACATGCCCCATCCGACCGACTATCAACAGCTGCTGTGCAACGTCAACGCTCAGACCCGTGGATATTACATCGAATCCTGTCAATTCATTTCCTAGCCACGTCTGCTAAGCTTCTGGGCTAGTAAGCACTATGATGCTAGCCAAAGCTTGGATGAGACGCACCATGACCGAGTTGCTGCATGGGGAGCAGCCAACAATCAGGAAAATCCCTCAGATCCTTGTCCAGCCCCGTTCAGCCCTATCGGGAGGGCAGATGCATCCCTGTTAGGGGGCCAGACGGGCTGATAGCGTCATTTGGGCCTGCACAATGACCTACTCAACTGCGAGCGTCCATGTCTCGAAGAGTAATTACCTCTGTTGCCTGCTCAGCTGATTCCTGCTAGGCTAGCTCGGTGTGGTGGATTTCCTACTTTTCTCCACAACCATCCACTTTTCATGGGGAATAATGGTCAGACTGTTATTCTTATTTCAACCAATATGGCACCAAGGCTTCACATTGAGGTCAATCAACAGTCGGATCGAAATCCTACATCCCCAGATTATGAACGAGTGAATATAGCAAGTAGCAGCCATGTTATCACGGATGGTCACCTTGACGGAAATGTTATCATCTTCATGCCAGGCAACGAGACTGCCAGTTCGTCGCAACAATATCTCGTTGAGGTTACCTTCGAAGGTAATCTCCCTACCAAAGAAACTCTTCTCCGGTTCTAAGCCGCTGCATCAGGCCATTTATCTGCAGCAATCAACTTGAATATTTCAACACAGCTACTGCGACTGGCAAAAAACATCACTGTACAATATCCCTCCTGCTCTCTCCGATAAGGTTTTTATTAACTTACCCTCAGCTCCTCCGAGCATCCGATGTGCGCGAACTATCACAACAATCCACGACCAACACATCCTCACGCACAATCCTACATCCATTCCACTTCAACATCCCCCCAAACCGCCAACTTTGTCACCTCCGACCAAAATGCCTCCACAACAACCTTACCGCCATCGCTCTCCTTCAAACCCATGCCAGTCTACAACTCCAACGATCTCATCCTGCGCGGACAAGGCCGCATAGAATACTTTCTCAAAGCCCGACTCTTCGACCACGGGAATTGCATCGCCGAAAATGAAGCGCCAGTAACGTTCGCTCCGGCCCGCGAATGTTCTCCTCCCATTTGCATCTCCGACTTTCCCGGCGAGTACACCCTCGCGTCGTCACGACGTGTGCGCGACCGTTTACATCGCCGCGATTTATACTATCTGTCCGTTCAGACGGGGGAACCTGCTCCACTGTATCTAGGTCGCTCGACTATGGTATCTACGGTAGTTCCGTTAAAATGGAACTATCGCTGTTTGGCTCCGTCGCAACAGCACGCAAATGTTCCCGATATATATGCCACCATCCAGACGTCTCTTCGCGCGACGACATTTGTTTCTGTTTCTCCTCAAGATCGGATTCCATTAGAGGAGGACGCTAACAAGCTGTTGGACTTTAAGCTTGTTGCGAATACAACGGGGACTAGTCTCACGCAGGCGCGGAAGTTGCGCATTGCATCGTGGGAGAATCTGGATGGTGGAGGGCCTCATGGAAAGGGTATGTAGCGCACTCTGTCAACGATAGTTGTTCAATAGCTAACATTTGCTTCGAAACTTATAAAAAGACCAAACAACAACAACATACCAAGCAATCACACCCCTGATTCTCAACTTCGACGCCCGCGATTACCTCCCTCCTACATTTACCCATCCGTACATCTCCCGACGGTACAGCCTCTCTATCTCCGTTTCGGTCGATGTCGATAACTCAAGGCATGCGAGTTTGCGATTGCGGGTTCCCGTGCAGGTGTCATATGAATGGGACGAATGGCCGACAGAGTGTAGGGAAGACGTGTCATTTCGACCAGATTCTGGCATTCTTCCTCCATATATCAAATGACGACTAGGTTTTCGAGGTATATTCATAATGAGACTATAATGACATCCAAAGTGAATCTCACACGATTGTGCTAAACTACTTTGCACTAGTATTGCGGAATTGGATGGTCCTTGTGCATTGAGTTGCAGATATAATGTGTAGCCCATCAAACTAGCAGAGACATCCCAGGTAGATATGGACACCACCAGCAACAGACGAATAGCATCATTCACTTACGGATGAAGCATGTCTTGTAGGGTGATCCCGGAAATTCACAACTGGCCCTACGGCTAATCGGCAAATGGCGTGGCCATTGCACCATCACATCGCTCAGCCCTATGCCGTGTTAGAAGCGGGGTAAGTTAAGTGATTGGATCGATTTCTCTATGCCCCTGTCGGGCTTAATTTCGGGGGTTTCACGGAGTAATTATGCATGCCCTCACTAGCCACTAATAGTGGGTTGTTGGGGTCTTCTGACTGGTGTCCGTAGACGGTCGCTGAGGCGGGGTGGGGAAGCATGTATCTCTAGAAAGAGGGAAGCGATCATAACAATGCGAGGAATCTCTAAGACCCCTGCCGTATGAAGGTGCTCATTTAATAAAAATAAACTGTCCATGTATACCACGCACAGTCTAAACCATTATCTCTCACATAATATCACATATCACATACAAAATCTCATACCATATACATATACATCTACAACGACAGCACCAACTGCCTCAACTTCTCAAAGTCAGGAAGTCCCAATCCAGTCACCGGATCCCATCCGACCGTGGCATTCCAGTGCGCCCACGGGATAATGCCCGCGCCGGCAACAGTCTCATCATTCTGCGGATCAATGCCATTGCATCCGATCGACTGGCCCCCCGTCACATCAGTCAACGCTCTGTACCCCTTGCTATAGAGCAGAGGGTTCAAAAAACCCAGCGTGGACTTGCCCGCCCGCAGACGAGCATCGTTCAGCATGCCCACTAGCGCAGAGAAAAGGGGACACGCGGCTGAGGTACCGCCGGAGCCGTAGCGGGCGCCGTAGAAGATAACCTCATATCTGCAGGTCTCATTAGACCATATTTCGTATTATCATGATGTGGGGAATGGACTCACGAAGGCTCAAAGCTATGGGCAGCAACGTCAGGGAACCCGCGACCGCTAAAGTTGGCGAATTGCGAGTAGTACTGCTTGGTCTCGTTGGTGATGTGGTGCGCCAGGTAGTTCTGCACAGCTTCCTTCTGGAACCACGCCCGCTCGAAGTAGTTGCTGAATCCGCCGGAACTGGCTTCCCAGGCGATTTCGGGGGCATAGGACATTGTTCCTCCCACGGCGGTCACGTAGGGACAGGTGGCCGGGAAGATGGGGTTGAATTGGGTTCGGTTGGTGCCGTCGGTGGTTCGGCAGCCGGATCCAATACCTGTGCTGCTGTTAGAGTGCTTTCGATACAAGGAATGGGGCAGGGAAATGAGTGTACCTTCGTCACCGGACGACTCGAGGACACTGATGCCGCGCAGGCCAACAAGTCCGATCAGGTTGCAGACTCGCTTGGCGTAGTACTCTGGAACGGTCTGGTCCGGTTAGTATCTACATTCAGGGAATGGGGAATGTAGGGTCGTACCTGTTCGTCGTCACCATAGGAGTTGGAAATCACTTGGGGCAGAGCCGAGTTGGGCTTGGAGAGGAGGTACTCATAGTACTGGAGGTAAGGCTCGTTCTCGTTGTCGGAGGCACTCGGCTCATCGGGGTCGGGAATGAAAGGACTACACAATTAGCTTCGATTCAAGTTCTGTCTAGGAATTCAATACTCACGGTTCGCCAGAAGTGATGAACTCAGTCACAGGGAGGGGATGAGCAACTCCGACGAGCAATTCCACATCGAGGTCCGCCTCGGTCAAGGAAGCCGTCGATTGATTCTGATCATTGACGCCGCCGTTGACCAACTCCACGGAAAAGCTCTGAGAGGGCAGGTTAAACAGCTTCTCGAACTTGGCAAGGTCAGAATACGAGGCGGATTCGTTCAGGAAGCTGCCGAAGCCCAGCTTGCTGCCCGACGAGGCGCTGGGAGTGTAGTTGCCAAAGTTGTACATCTCCTTCAGGCAGGACAGCGTAATGAGATCGGCACAGGACGAGCTGTTGGAACGTTTGGCCACATGGTTGTCAATCTTTTGCGCCCGCTGGTTCAAACTAGCAGTAGTCTTTTCCTTGCCGAAGAAGGTCGTTGGGGAGATGAGGTCGATTGAGTCGACCAAATCATCCGGGATGGAGTACTCTGTTGTGCGCAATCTCTGGGAAGAGCCGCTTTGGTAGTAGGCAAAGGTGGCGTTGAGAAGCTTGTTCACCTTATCGACCGTGGTCGCAAAGTTCACCAAGCTGCCCTGGCGGGAAATATGGGTGATATTGGCGCTGCGCAGCCAGTTAATCACAGCCTTGTCGCTGGCCACTGGGAACAGCGTGTCGACATCCTCCTGGTCCAGCCACTGGCCGTATTGCGATTCGCCAGGTGTTGACAAGTCTTTCAGCTTGGATTCAAGCTGATCGAGGTTCTTGCGTGCCAGCGCGATCGACAGGCTTATCTGGTGGTCGGAGCCAGCATCTTCGACATGATGCCAGCCGGAGGGGACCGCGGCGAGCTTTTCATGGACAATCGCGTTGGTCGAGGCGGCCAGGGAGCACAGGAGTGCTGTGTAGAGACCGGAAGAACGCATGCTGGAGACCTTGAAAGGGACAACACACACAGAGTTCGAATTGTTCGCTAGGCAGACGAGACGGACATTATAACTTTTCTGAGACAGCCAGAAGGGACGAGGGATTGGCCGGCCTTGCTTATCGGACGAGACAATGGCATCATTGCATGTCTCCAACGGCTAGCAAGCTGGGTCAATTCGGACCAGCCGATACTGACGAAAGGCTGATTCGTCCAAAGATTCTGCAAATGCACCCCAGAACGACTGGCGTCGGCTGTTGTTGATAAGCAATGGGTCTCCAACCCTGATTCCCACCCGGAGTCCGACGGCGATCGCCGGGATCGCGTTGTTGCAATTTGCAACATGCTGCCTGCCAGCCACACAATGCCAATGCCATTCCCATATTATCCTGTAAGACAATTGATTAACTATTACTCAAGATTATTCATAAGCACATTTCTCACTTTGGCAAGCTGCTTGGAGTATTGCCAATGCCTGACCAAAAATGCCGCGGCAGATGAAATCCTTCCTTTCTTTTTCTTCCCTAAGCGATGGCCCCAAATTAGCGCCGGCGAACAAGCATCGATGTCTCCAGATACATCCAAACTAAAACCCACTACTGTACCGTCGCATCCAATAGTCGCTTTCTGGCGCCGTGGGTCTGAACTCAGGTTACCAGCGGAGAATTCTCGCGGCTTCTCTCGGCTGCGTCCCTTTCCCCAACAATCGATTCAGCTTACCGCTGTTGATGGCCTTCGCTCAACGTGGGGTGCCCAATCTATTGTCGGGAATTGCCGATACTAGGCTACATGCTCAGAATAATCGAGTAGTAGTAGCAGCTGTCTTGCCCGAATTGGGAGGAATTTTATCACGCTGGAAGAGTAGCTGCCAATTTCCCCAAATCTGTCTTGTCTCATCACTAATTTATGTCGCATTTATACTGCTCAGCAATAGCAAGTCAATTTCATTCGCTACCTAGATAAGCATGCCCTCACAGTCATAATAGTATTGCGTAAAGTCCATCCACAGACTCTTCAGACAAGTCTCGACTGCCCATCGTCCCCTAAGAAGGATAGCAATAAATGCTTCCACTTATCGTACCAAAGTTCTGAAAGAACCGGCTATTCTGATAGCAGTCGCTCCGGTATCCCACCGTGTCGTAGCTTCCGGTGCATGCGGTGTTTCTACGGAAGAATAATCGGTCAGCTAGATAGATCACATTGATTTCGAAGTTGGTCGTCATACCCAAATTGGCGACAGCCGACAGCAACGTTGAACTGGGTTGATCTGTTCATCTTGTGTTAAATCGGGCTCTGTAATACTGATTGTCGGAATTATATATACCCAGTTTGGTTCAAGGGGATACAGGTTTCGGAGTAGATGGGCCTGGCGTCCACGGTGCAGACGCGGAACTCGCTCGTGGTGCCCTAGTAGGATTTCAATTAGATGATATATTGTCACTGAGGCGTTATGAAGACTAATAGTGGGAAAGTAAGCATACAATCAGGGTCTTGTTCTGCGCCATCACCGCAGGGATCATCGTAAGCACGAGAGTCTTGAAAGAAACCATGGCGCCGTTACTGTTTCGGCGTGCAAATAATCAAGAGAGTAACTGTGGAGACTTGACTTCCTTGTGCTAGAGCTAGTTGAAGGTTAATGAGCTTTATAACGGCCGCTGTTAGGATCAAACCTGCCTACTGAGGCATCCCAGTATAGTACATTCCAATGACAGGCGCTGTCAAGGCCTTAGCTTACCGGAATGTTCACGTTACAACAATGCCATTGATATGTCCCAGTACATACTATTGAGGCGCATTCCTTGGACCTTAATAGGCTTTTCTACGCTAGCTATCACGTGTGAACCTTGAATGGTCGTTGGACTAACGGTTGGGAAGATACCCTGCATTGTGTGGAGCCATTGGTGGATATAGCGCCGAAGAATGCTGGGCTTTGGCGGCTTACTGTCCAGCCGTTCCAATCTCAATTGTGGATATGAAGGATATGATTGCAATGGAGTGACTCCAATATTGTCTGGGAAGATTGTCTGTGGGCAACTTTGATCGTGCATTCAGTATGCACCTAAGACCATGAGGTTGTATGTTATCGCTGGGATCTCTTTGGACTGCACTTAAATATCTCAGGTACGCACATATTTCAACGGAATGCAGGTATATTGGCCGATATAGATACAACGATACTCTGGTTATGTATAGATAGTAAATTCGAAATTTCAACACATTCCAGCTGCCTTTTATGGTCCCAATGCTTGGCGAACCGGGGAAAGAATGGCCAGGGTTTGAGCCCCTCAGGTTCTCAAAGCAGACTCAGGCATAATATGCCATATATGCGGCCCTCATCGATCAACATTGCAATTACCTACTTAGAGCACGTCAAATCTAGACCAAGCTGGAGGGGCTCCAAAATATGACGGTTTATAGAAAATCGTTAAGCAAAGTCAAACATATATGATGTCCCTAATGATTGCCTTGATATTATTATCATCCAAATTTATTCTGGTCAACCAGACCCCAACATTGATTCACATATGCCGCTACTCTGCCCATGCTTTCCAACTACCCCCTAGGCCAACTGAACGCCACTTGGGAGACCGAATACCTGGCCATCCCTCTCATAAAGACACGACTTCATCTGCACTGATCCCTCAGTCAGGCAATCATCTGTCTTCGCATTCTTCAAGTTTCCCGTGACTGCATACGTCCATTTCTGGCCGTCGCTATCCGTGCTGTCACATGCTTGCAGCTTCACTGAGTTTCCATCAGCAGCCAAGCATTGTGTGGTCTGCGATACTGAACGAATGACTCCTGACGGTGTCACCTGCCAGATCTGAGAGGTCTCTCCATTGCAGGACTGAAATGCGACTGAAGAATTTGAGGCGGCGGTCAGACAGTTGCCCGATGCTGTATTGAAGACAAGCCCCGTTGGCACTACCGAGGAACAACCCTGCGGAAGACTGAGCCGGAAGACTGCTGTCGCATGGCTGGCTAGTTCAATTTTTATATGGTCGCTGATCTTCTGGGTCTTGCCATCCCAGAGATCCTCGGCCGTGTATGTACAGTCAGTCTCTGTAAGACCCAACCATTGTACGGGAATGTCCCTCGTTACTGTTGTGTTTCCCTTATTAAGCACCGTCAGCAGCCTGTCGCCGTTTGCCAGACTACGGGTCAATATATCCAGTGTGTCATCGCGGCTGGCCAACGTGGCCTGCTGCGCCAGGGGATCCTGATTCACCGCAATCAACGCCTCGTTCGTCAAGAAGGCAATCTCATCCTTCGAAAGTGCAGGTATATAAGCACTGATAATAAGTGGAGCCGAGAAAGAAGCCCACAGTGCAAAATGCGATCGCTTTTCATCCGCCGTCAGGCCAGGATGATCCGGGATCAGAAAATCAGGATCATTGAAATACCCCGGTCGCTGGTAGCGCGCAAGAAGAGTGTTGTAGTTGTAGTTATTCATAATGCTGTCCCATGCGCTACCTGCTCCACTGTACACCAGGATATCGGTAGAATGGCGGGCCAGCTCCCCGTAGATCGGGACCCAGTCCATCACGGTGTACCAGTCTGTGTTGTTGTCTGTGCCCGCGAAGTATGCCGGGGCTGACTCGGAGAAGATCAGTGGGTGCTGCATCTTGCTGAGGACTTGGTGCCAGTGTCCGTACCGTTGCTTGTATTCCTCCTCGAGTGTTCTACCTTGTGTTGCGTAGACATTGCAACCGTCGAGCTTGAGATAGTCAATCCCCCATGAAGCAAAGGTGTTGGCGTCCTGCTCCTCGTGGTTGTAGGATCCGGGGTATCCGCCACAAGTCATGTTGCCAGAATCTTCATAGATTCCAAAATGAAACCCTTTGGCTTTGACATATTTAGCTAGCCAAGGCAGGCCGTGGGGAAACTTAAGTGTGTTCCACTGTAGGGATCCATTGTCGGATCGCTGATAAGCCATCCAGCAATCATCCAGATTGATGCGATTGTAGCCTGCGTCCCGCAGACCGTTAGCAGCCATCGCATCGGCAGTCTCGGTAAACAGGGTCTCGTTGAGGTCGCACATGAAGCGGGCCCAATTGTTGAAGCCCATGGGTGGTGTTGGCAGGAGGCTGGACTGCTCGATGGAGCCGTAGACTTGCCAGGGGATGGCTGCTAGCGTGGCAGCCAGTAGTATACTCTTGGTTCCTTGGTTCATGATGCTCTCAAGTCCCTGTATCGCTCTACACCCTTCTTAATTGACCTATGTGAAGGTAAAAGTTCCGTCCAAGTCAAAGTCAAGTGACAACAAAACATCACGGAAGAAGCGGACTCTTATGCAGGCCATCCCTTGCCGCAAATTGTCTGACGACCCTGATCTTCCCCGCTCGAGCAATCGGAGTGTTGGCACCTGCAGTCAAACCCTGGCGGCTTCTTGCATTGATGCCACGGTGCCATTGGAGCTGCAGCTCGCGGAGTCCGAGTCCAACCATCTGTGTTCGCTTATCTTCCCCGCATCAGAGGCCGAGGGATCGGCTGGCTTTGCTTGAATTGTGACGGGCGAAGAACAAAATGAGGCGGCCATTATCGTTCATGGAGTACAATTCGGAGAATCATGGCGTGTACGTTACATTCATCGGTGATTGTGTGTGTTCCTGGTGTTTCATCGGCCATTGTGAACTATCTCGGTTTGGTCCTTCCTGAATTAGGCGTCTGCACACAACTTGACACCGATGGAATAACCGAGGCCACGTACCGGTGGAAGCAGGGGTATGGTTTCGGCCACAGTAGTTTCGTTTGTCAGTGCTGCGTAGACAATCAAGTCCTGGACTAAGAGTTCAGTGTGTGCATTGTCTTCTCTGCTCGTCTTCAATCTCACCTATCAAGGCCCGTATCAGTACGGACCACCTTTCATAACATGCCACGGTCGCCAGGTAATTCTATTCTTTCTTTATGCTGTTAGCCTCTCTGAACGGCTAGTTTCTAGCTGTCGAGTGTGTATGCATGAGTTCAGGCTCGGTCTCGCCAGCCATGCTCGGATAATTATTCGGCTACGGACTATTAGCAATTGCAGCTCTGCATCCGCAGATGTCTCACTATCCTTTTATCCTTTCGAAAGCCGAACACGCTCAGCTCGCCAATCCAAGCCAGTTCAGCTTAGTTCATTTATCATCACATCCCGGAGGACATCAGGGGGATCATCGCACCGTGAGTTGGAGACAATTTGGAGCTTGTCTCGGAAACAACCCGACCGGCATTCTTAGCTTGCTGCAGGGTGAGCCAGCGCCCTGTATAGTGATTTTATAGTAAGACGATTATTATATTCTTTCAAAATTAGTCCTCGCTGAACTTGACAGTAAGCATCTCAGCCAAACTACATTCGCCTCAGGAATTGCAGTCTATACTCTCCACACCCGACATCAAAGGCAGAAGAGGAAATAGCAACAAATATAAGGTAAACCGTTGGTTCTGCATAAGCTGAGTATAATCAACTCCGATATCAGCAAACATAGCCTCACCTCACTCAGCCGCTTGTCTCAGCAGGCAAGACAAGTCGCTGTCATCGATCGGCACCACACCCCACCACGGAGATATTACTCTGTAGGGACATGTTAACAATAGGAGAAGCCGATCGATTGGAGATGAGTGAACAGCTTTCAATAGCGTCACTGTCTCAGTATGGCAAGGTGCCCTTGGCATTGTGGAACCTCCCCATGCCGTCAACCAGAATGCTGTATGGCTCATGAAGATTCCACTTTTCAAGAACAACTGGAACACTGCGGCGGAGTCCAGCCTTACCTACAACGCTATATCTCCATTGACTATTGATCATCGTCCATCTCGAGGATCTGTTTAAGGTTATTGACTGGAAGGGGCAAATATGGGGGGGGGATCATCTGAAACACCGGGACGATCAACGGCCGAGCCCAGAATAGAAGCCGGTACAGATCCGTTGGCCTCCTGACGAAATATTCCACGGTACTGTATGAGGTGCAAATACAACAGTTTGTTCAATCAATCCTCTCATGATGCTTTGCTGCTATTACCTGCCAGCGATAGCATAATTAGTGCCTCCCCCTCCGCAACCGCATGAGAATAAGCCCGGGGAAACCGGCACACCACGCGGGACTCCAAGACATGTCTCACATAGTCCCGACGATCGATAACCCAGAACGACAGCAATCTCCATCGGGAGTCCACCAGTCTCATCTTTGGGTCTGCGAGTGACCTCACTTGTCCCTAAGATGGACCTAACCTCCTCGCCCTCCGGGATATATAAACGCTGTTGAACACCTCCCATCTTGCCATCAATCACAACCACAAACCATCAAAACAATCATCCTCTGTGAAATACCACATTCAATCCCACTCTCCAGTCAAGATGAAGTTCTCCATCGTTGCTCTTGCCGGCCTTGTCAGCGCCGTCTCTGCTGCTTCTCTCCCCGCGCGCTTCTCCCTCATCGCCGACGACAACACCCCCGTCCTCACCGATGGCGGTACGCATTCCCTCCTTCCCATCGGAACCCCCCATCAACCGATATACTAATTAGATGACAGAGTTCGCCTACATCGGCAAGGACTCCTCTAAGAAAACCACCAAGCTGATCCGTAAGTCTTTTTCCTCTTACTCTTCCCTTAAAACCTCCTGTACGTATCCCACTAACGAACGAAATAACAGTCTCCTCCGGCGCCAACGGAGCCCTCACCTACCTCGCCAAGGGCGCCGTTCCCACCGCCTGGCAGAACCTGTACATCATCGAGAACAGCGTCTCGCCCATCTCCTTCACCACCCCTCACTCCGGTTCTGTCCCTAAGAACGCCAACACCACTGGCTTCGGCGTCGACGAGCAGGGTTACCTGACTCAGGGCGGCAGGGCCTGGTTCGCCGTTGATGGCTACGGCGATGTCCCCTCCAAGGAGGTCTACTGGTACGGTGCTCACAGCTCGGAGTACAAGGCTGCCAACCTGAAGGTTCAGGAGTGCACTACTGAGGAGTGCTAAATGGGTTGAAATCATGGCATACACTTTGATTTGTAGATGTTGAGTGGATCGGGGATGAATATATGGATATAGTTAGTGTACTGGTAGTGTATAATGTGAGTTTCTCAATATTTGGTGTTGTTTTTTATATGGGGATAAAGACATGGTATGGTGTAAATCATCGGTAGACTACCGAAGAGCATAATGGAGCATCGGGATGTGATCCACGAAAAGGGGGATGCTCCAGTTTGCCAAACATGTTCTGAGAAGGGATACTGTTACCATGTCACCTTATTAGAAAACACCATGTCCCGGTCAATCTAAAATCTCATTTACATTCGTCACAATCATTATACCGTTTCTTTTCGCATATTATACACATTATTACTAGTATACAGGGTATATAAAATATCTCATCATACAGTATCATCCCACCACAGCCTTCAACTTTGCCCCTCCCGTCGTCGTCTCCAACCACACCTTCATCTTGCGCGATGCCTCCTCCATATGGGATAAATCCGGACTGCGCTCGAAGGCGTGTGGTGCCTCAACAGCCACATCCGAGAATAGCAACGCGAGCGGCGACGACTTCCAAATGAACTGGTTCCGGGTCCGGACTACCGTCGTGACAAGGAAGACAAGGGTCAGGACCATCAAGGCGATCGGAAGAATCATCCACGGCCACTTGACGTGCACGAAGGACTCAACGGTCCAGGTCGTGCCCTTTACTGACGCCTTGCACACGGCGTTGCGCGCGTGTGTTGTCAGCGCCCCTGCGAGTGATTGGAACATCGAGTTGATATCCGTATAATTGCCCTCCACGCCATAGACGGCGTGCATGGTGTCTGAGGACCAGTCGGGCCGGTTGCTGACGAAGAGTGAACCCTTGCCTTTCAGCAGGGGCGTGAGGGAATTGGACATGGCGAGTCGGCTGAGCCAGCTCACGTTGTAGGTGCAGTCTGTGCGGTCGGAGCGCTGCGTGCCGTTCACGTAGCAGGTTTCGGGAGTGAGGGAGATGTCGCTGGTCACTGATGTGGCGGAGTAGTTTGAGGATGAGGCTGTCGATACGAGGGTTTCTTTGTAGCGGCCCTTGTGGACCGAGGCTTCGTATGTCTTGACGCAGAAATAGAGGGCGCATTCGGTTGCGCTGATTTGTGGTGGCACGCCGTAGCCAGCGGCGCTGATGGCGGTGAAGTTCAGTATAACGGGCAAGTTCTCGGTGTTGAGTTTGACGAGGTTCAGGTTGTTGGTGGCGTTCATCAAATACATCATGCCCCAGGAGGTCTCGAAGCTGAATCCGTTGGGTAGGGTGTAATTGTAAGTGGCCATGGTACTGGTAACCGATGTTTTGTGCAGGGTGAGGCTGTCTGTGATGTTGGCGCAGCGACTGCAAAACCCTAGCGATTGATAAGGAGTGAAAGTACAGTTTCCTGTGGGACACGTCATGGTAACCGTGTTGCTGTCTGGGCCCTCACTTTGAAAAATACCGGTGTAGATGGCCCCGGTTGTGGATAGAGGAACCTTGTTCAGACCTGGCCCAGAGCCTTCGCCATAGTCAACATAGCTGCTTGTATTGCAGACTTGGATGGCGGAGGGATCGGGCGAGTGGACGGGCTGCGAGGTGATGTTGATGACTTGCTGGACAAACGGCGCAATGGCCGCGGCAACCACCATGATAAAGCATCCGATAGATACCAAGTGACTACTTACCTGTTAGAGCCATATTTTGTTGCAAGTTTAATCCTGGTGAGAGGGACATACCGAGGAAGAAAGCGGAAGAGAACAAATGTGGCGCTGAAAGCTCCACGACTGGCCGCGTCCAGTAGTGACAGGTCACTCAATTGGTTGCGCTCGTTGAACCAGGACCATTTCAACTGCGACAGTCCCTCGGTAATCGGGAAGATCATGGCCGCTTTCATTAGAGTCACCAGCACGGAGACCACAGCATTGAGAGTGATGCCGTATGGCCAGTCCGGCATGGGCCGGTTATCGTAGTTGTAGAGGACGATGATGATGGCGACCAGAGCCGTCACGGCAATTACACAGCTCAGGATCTCCCAGGTCCAGCCTGACAACCAGAATTTGGAGGTCTGATTCTGCAGAAGCAATGGTCTGGAGGTTGATAACGGTCGGGTCGAGGGTTCCTTTGGGTCCTCGATATTGCGATACCCCAAATCGTACTCGTCCTTGAGGGCCTTCATGGTGTCTGCTGGCCGGTTGGAGGAGCTGTCAGAGACACATCCGGCCTTTTTAGGAGGCGATGAAGAGTTCTCTCTCCATGTCAGGGAGAAGATATGATCAAGCTTTGCGTGATACTCCATCTGGGCGACGATGACTCCCCATTGAGGCAATCCCCGTAGGGACTTGGCAGCCCCAATCCAAGCTGAAAGGGAAGGCGGTGCGGTCAATTTGAAGGACTGTGAAACATTCCTTAACCACATGTGGTTTAGTCCAGGGGATCATCAGGCCCCATCCGGGTAACTGATCGCCCAGATCAGCGCTGATTGGCCAATAAACACCCGGCAGGGGGGACATTTCCTTGTTCGGTAAAATCGCCACAAACGGTCAGCTTCTCCAACGCTTATCGTTCCCGCATCTCCCTTCAAAGCCGAAAGGCTAACTGACTCGACTGACCCTAAAATGCAGTCTTCAATCGCGCGAGAAGAAGATCGACGTGGACTTGGGATGGCAATGTCTCACTCATGCGCAAAAACTTTTGTTCAGAGGCCTCCATATTGGTGTCAAAGGCAATACCATCGGTGGTGCCAGCTCTTTGGTCCACCTAGCTTCTAGCACACCTTGCAAGCCAGCCATTGAACACTTGCCAGCTGGAAGGTCATAAAAGTGCAGCTTGTGGACTGGGAGCGTCAAACAAAGTTGAGAGTTCTCTCTGCAGATCAGCACTAGGTCAATCCTCGACGGGAGACGGTTGTGGCTGATCTACAGTTCGAAATCTCGCTGCAGTAAACAAAGCTTGATCCGGCGGCACATGTCATAATGGCTGGCAACCTGCAATTCGGGCTAGAAAGTATGCAGACGGACGTTGAACCGAACATTGCATGCTATGTTGAATTCCCCGCCACCCCGGCCACACACTACTGACACTGTATGGTTGCTCGAGTGTGGGTGCGCCGCTCAATCAGCCATCATTTGAAATTCTTTGCAACCGTATGCCTGACTGACTTGGTGGATACTCTTTGCGTTCAGCACTATTGCTCTTAGACGTAGATATTGGAGGTAGAGAGAGGACACATGTCGGTCTTCTGCAGATGCTTGTATGGGCTGGCATGATGAATAGTGCGTGTTGACCGGCATGCAGTTTCGCTAGACTCCCGATAATCTCTGTTCTAGCTTGAAGTGGTGTGGCGTCGCGAAAAATATCTCGAAATTTGGTTCAGGTAACGATCTCGTGTAGAGACCAGCAAGTTTCTCGAGGTGTTTGAAGGCTTCGCTGTGTAGAGAGAAGCTCTAGTCATTGCTGATAGACAAAATTAGAAATGGTAGTCAGCATTGGACAACGATGGTATATTTCTGAGCTGTCATCATTTCACTACTCCGAGTGTAGCAAACTACATGGTCTTATTGTATGATAATTATATTTATTCTAAATGTTGCATCTGTATAGGCAATCCTGTATAACTTCTAGCGTGCGAAAAAAAAAAAAAGAAAGACTCTAGTTATATATTGATACAAAGTGAATGCAGTAAATATTTTAGGTCCCCTGAGGCATCTCACCCTGAGTGCTTACTCCCTTGGGGATATAAATAATGTCGTGGAACCTCCGCTTATCCTCTCGGCTATCTTCTGAAAACGGGGCTGTATCAGAACTAACAGCTTCGTAACATACTGTATATCAGGTTGAAAGCAATTTTTATCAGTTCTACATTAAATACGAGTATGACACCTAATAACCAGTAGCAACCTTGGGCGCACTATCCATCATAAACGTCCTCGATTTCAACAACCACACAAACCAGCTCGGAACAGCCCACCCAAACAACGCCCCAACACCACCGGATGGTCCTATGGGAACAATGCTCATGTCCTCCTCGATCTGCTTGTACTTCTTCTCCTTCAATAGCGGTGCAGCCCCCTTCATGGACCCGTCCCTAGTGGCAGCAACGCGTAGGTCGGACCAGATGGAATACCCCAGCGCGGGAACAGACCAAACAGCGTCCGGGATGCCTCCGTTAGAATAAGACGCTACATCTCCTATCGCGTACACACCATCGGGAGTATTGGTGGCGCGAAGCGTGGCCCCGTCCACGGCAACGTGTTTGCTGCCATCAAGCCACGATGGCGGTAGGAAGCTGGTGTTTGGTGTGCTGCCCGTCGTGTCAATGTACAAGTCGACAGTCCTAGTGGTGCCGTCGCTCAACACCAACGACACCTTGTCAGCCGACATAGTTGACGACGTGACGCGCACGCCGTGCAATGTCCGCACGTTCAGCGCTGCCAACTGTTGCTCTGCCCTCGGCGCCACCTTTTTATTCCGCAACCTCGGCAGCAGACGCGTGCCTCCAGATAGGAGAATAACTTCTTTGTCCTTGTGCTGGCTTGCTATCTCGCCTGCTGTTTCGACGCCTGTGGGACCGCCTCCTGCTATGAGAATTGTTTTCGAGGTCGGGAGTCGTGCTTGGAGGTCCTGAAATGCGGCGAGGGTAATTTCGTGATCGCCGTGCAGCGTCCATACTGCGCTAGGCTGTGTGCTGGGGGTTAGTATAAAAATGGGCGTAAGGCGTCGAGAGTACGTACACTGGTGGTCCCTGTAGCAATGACTAAAGAGTGATATCCAATCAAGCGGTCCGCAGCCCCAACGCTCTTGATGGACACTGTCTTAGCCGTCTCGTCTAGTCCGACCGCCTCGCCTTGGATAAAGGTGAAGTCGTCCGAGTTGTACTGGCGGAAAGCATTGGGGATGGAAGCAAACAGCTTGTCGTTTGGGACCTTGTCCGATACCAAGACTCGCGGGACTGCCACCTTAAAGAAGGTTTGAGCGGACGGTGACACGAGCGTAACCTTGTATTGCGATTCTTCGTTCTTGACTACGGGCAAGACGTGCTTGAGGAGGTACTGTGCGGTGCTAACGCCGGCAAAGTTCCCGCCAAGGATAACAATACTGTGCATGGCGGCCTGTTGGGAAGGTAGTCGAAAGGGAGATTGTAGATGCTTTGGAGGACCAGCGAAACTTGTGGTGGTCTATTGAATGGCAAAATGAAGGGAAGAATTCCTAGTCAAGAACGCGGCTATATGAGCCTCTGTCAAGGTTGATACGTAATCCATGATTAGTAGTTTCGTTCAGCAGCATTATTAATTTACAAAGAAGGCTCTAGAGTTCCGCTGATGCAAGCCCGCGGTG